AACTGCAATGTTTTTTCTTGAATGAGACACCCTGTACACATTGCTCTCATGTTTCTTTTCTTCAACACTGCACTGAAAGCATTGTTTCAACGCATTGAAATTTTTGCGAAATATTTTATGCGATAATTGCGGCATAAATTAACGTTTTATCGCGCAAAATTTTTTACATTTTTTCAAAGCGATTCTCATGTTATTTTTGCCTCATTTTCCATGGCGCGATACAATGCAAATCATATGGGTTTTTTGAAGATATAAGGGTTTCAAAAATGCATTTTTTTTTCGATGCGATTCAAATGACAAAAACTGGCTATTTTAACGCATCGAAATTTCGTTAAATTTTTAATGCGTTTTTCGAGACAAAACGTTTTATCGCATGTTTACCTTTATCTAGTTAACTCCTCCTGATGATGCAAACTTGGTTAACGAATATGTGTCTTGGTGCCCTTCTTACCGTAATCTTTGTTTTTCCTCTGTCGATGTATTCTGCATTTCTTCTTCTTCCATTTGACGCGCTGTACATGACAATGCTACTATTATTAACGAATATGTCGCTTAGTGCCCTTCTGACCATAATCTTTGTTTTTCTTCAGTCGATGTATTCTGCATTTCTTCTTCTTCCATTTGATGCGCTGTACATGACAATGCTACTATTATCAACGAATATGTCGCTTAGTGCCCTTCTGACAGCAATCTTTGTTTTTTCTTTACGATAGAACCCCGTTGAACCGTCATGTTCCTTAAATGATGTATTTTGAGACACCCTGTACACTTTTTAAGAATCACACGTTTAAACGATAGAGCCCCGTTAAACTGTCATGTTTTTCAATGACGCATTTTGGGACATCCTTTACACATTGACGTCATGTTTTTTTTTTAACGATGAGAAACCCTGTATATCTCGATGGCAACCATGTTTTTGCTTTGACGCTGGTAACCATGTTTTTTCTTTAATCTAATTTTTCATTCATTATTTTTATAATTCAACATAGCCGACGTATTTGAGACACCCCGTACATGTTTTTGTTTTTCTTAAACGATGAGACACCCTGTACACATTGAAGAATCACACGCCAAAACAATAGAGCCTCGTTAAACTGTCATGTTTTTCAATGACGCATTTTGGGACACCCTGTACACATCGACGTCATGTTTTTCTTTAATCCGATTTTCGTTCATTATTAATAATATAGCGTTATTTTTGTGATTCCACCGCGCTCTTATCTATCAAATGAATCTACTCGATGCTCATTCCATCCTTCTATGCGTCGGTCACGTCGCACACGTCTCTTTCCCACTCGCTACCACGAAAAGTGGAGGAGTGGGGGTGGTCCATAGTGGCGCGACTCCTACTTTTGTCTTTTTTGTTTTAAAAGAAGTTATAATTCCCATTCAACGAACATTTCAATCACGATGTTGAAAAAGTGAAAATATATTTTTTCCCCTAGTTACCACCTCTCTATTTTCATAATTACAAATTTTCAACTTCAATATCATAAAATTTATCTCTTCTACGATTTTTACATTGGTTCTTAGATTTAGATACATTTTCATTTAACAATTTTGTACAAAAATAATTAACCTCACTTATCTCTAAATATAAATATGTTTCAAAAGCATCACTTGTCCGTTCCTAAGGAAATGAAAGGAACAATAATTTTTGAATTTTTCATCATTCCTCAATGATAACAATTGGTTTATTATGCCATTTTCAATTTTTCATCGCAGATATCAATTTTATTTCATCTGACGTTTATTTATTACGTATATCGGTTATCAGTTTTTCGGATTCAATGAATTTTGGCACACAAATCTGAAATTTAAATTTTCCACTCTTTCATACTTGTTTCCTGTCGAGTCTGTGNTGGCTCTGCTGCATTAGAAAATCCAACTTGACATTCACTTTTCTGTGTTGAATGTCTTAATAAAACATACTTCCTATTTTCATTCAGCAATAGATGGAATCTAAATAAAAATAGAGCATTGTGTCATTCAATGGATGTGTATTGTAAACAGAATAATTAAAATTCTGATAGGATATGTTGTGGAACAGAAGCATAAACTCAATATTTTCAGTAAGTATTACTACTATACACAAGAATCTTCAAGAGGTGAAGATTGTACATCAAGTTATACTTTTGTTTTAATGAAATACTTTTGAATACTTTTAATTTTAATCTCTCACCGAATTCAAAAAAAATATTTATTAACAGTATAATTTTTTCACCTTAGTTAAAAATCTTTCGCTTTCTATGTATGTCTGAAAGTTATTTTTTTTCTTGAAACATTGAACAGATATTTTTTTCAACAGTCTTACCTACCTGTTTTCTGAAGACATCTGAAATATATTTAACATCAGTTGAGTCCAAATCGAATGCAAATCACTAAATTAAAAGCATGCTCTATAGATTTCAGGATTATAGTGCACTCACCCACATACGTTTTTCCTTCAATGACTGTTTTGGTTTGGTTTTGATATAATTGATATCATAACCTTATGCACATATCGTGGTTCTTGATTTTGGAACTTTGACACCAACAAAGTCCCACTTTTTACAAAATTCAAAATTATATTGATAGTTTTGTAACTTGGTATTTCATTGATTATGTTCACACAAAATAATTTGTCACTACCATTACTCATTGTCATGTCATTCTACAGCCATATTAACAATTTGAAAACTTTCAACACAAAATAGAGGCAAATAAATCGATCTAGAATATATTCATGATAATAACCTTCAAACAGTTTTAAAGTTTAAAGAAAACACAGATCGAATCAACCAATAGCAATGACCGATGGCGAATGGTTTTATGATGTAAATGGGTCTTCAAGCCTGCCAACTGTCTCAAAATTTCACTCAACATTATAATGCAGAATTATGAAAAATTAGAAACAATGAAATAATAAATTCAAGTAATTCATCGTATTTAAACTTCTTCACTGTCATAAGGCTCTTCTTAGATCTTCAATGAGTTCAAAACTTCAACTTCCGCCATTATTCCCACGTAGTATAAGCGAGCGCATGGACTATAGGATTATGACAAAGTACGTTATGATGAAGTACGTTATGACGGATTACGGTTTCTATCGATTACGATTATGATCGTTTGATGTTATGATGCATTGCTGTTATGATGCATTGTGTTTATGATCGAATTATATTATGATGCGTTAGTGTTATGACGGAGTACGATATGAAAGAGTACGTTATGATGAAAGTATATTATGATGAATAAAGTTATGAAACTGTACATAATGCTGCTGTACGTTTCTATCTTGTACTATATATGATCATTTGCGATTTCTATCGTTTGACGTTATGATGGAGTAAATTTCTGTGCATTACGATTTCTATCTTGTACATTATGATGCATTAGGTGTCCTCACAAAAAACTATTTGTTTTTTCTTGTATCACACCAAAACATTTTTTTGACATCCCAATAAATAATAGGTATATTCAGCACGTGTTGTCACTAATAAAGGATTTTCGACAGTATACGAGCATGCGCATTCGAATACATTCAACTATCAGGTAGCGTGCAACTACTCGGACTCTCTTCTTTCTCTCTCGCATCCTCTATCGCACCTATCAAATAGCTCCAATTCTAAAACTTTATAGCTTGACAATGATATTTCATATACGATATTCTGCAGGCAAGCCATATATACTTTTGATTTTGTAATTAAAAATATCTTAAGATATAAATTTCAATTAGTTATCAGATAGGTGTAGTTACCTAATATTGACTTAACTGTTCACCTCTGCTTGTCAGGTAGCCATGCACAGAAATAAGTAGGCAAGCCTACTTCAGTGTGTTAAAAACTATCAGTTGAGATGAAATTCATTGGGTTATGAAAAGAGCGAAGGTGGTGAAAAAAAATTGATTAAAATTGATCCAAATAAAAATAGCTATGTAAACTTTTCGATAGGCAAGTTATATTATACTTAGGCATGTTTGTTGATAAATTATATTTGATAAAAAATATGTCTCAAGTTATCTGATGGGTGAAGGTCGTTCTCCTACGGTCTTCTCTACTATTAATATTATTGACTACTGGAAACAATTGCATGAGTTCTTTTACTATAATGTGAAAAATGATAAGCTGAAATCTGGGAGGATAGATAAGTTTCAATAAAATTCAAGCTGTATATTTTTTTTTCATAAAATGCACACATAATACTGTAATACATATTCATAACATTGGCAAAATTCATAATTCATAAAAATTTCAAAGTTGAAAAAATACAATCACACAAAAAGTTTCAATTTTGTCTTCTGCATGAGGATCAAACGAGGCCAGGTTCGTCACCAGAAACAACCACCCATCCACTTTTTTCACCTTGAAAAATAAAAACAATTCAGAATTATTTTGAAACATCGATTCCAGAAAATCAAAATTTTCTGAGCATACGAGGTATGGCTAGAAAATAACAGTACTTTTAGTGTAACTATTTTTATTTTTTCTTTATAACTTTCACCTTATCTCCCTCATCATACTCCCCTATACTTGTTCATTCTTATTTTTCCACTGTTCAAAATAGTGTTTTAGGTAATTTTTCGAAGGCATGTTCATAGTCTCGGTCGCTTTTTCCTTCATAGCTTTCACACTATGAAACAGTATTTTCTTCACTTTCTGGAACTTTCAAAATTCACACGACACTAGATCTGATGTGCAGGGTGGATGTTCTGACACAAGTATCCTATATTTGGCTAATAATAACTTAAAAAACCGGTTGAAGTGTAGTGGAGAATGTTGAGCGATTGTTTGTCTCGCAGAACACCAGCATCGTTACTTGTTAGCCACTCCTCATACATGGAAATATAAAAAACAAGATCTCAGCGAGTAAGTGCCAGGTTATTTTCCTAGGTTTCACTACTGAATTATGATATTATAAAAGTACTCATAACTACGATATCTGAAAATTGATTTTTTTAAATTTCGACAATGAAGTAGATAATGATATCGAAAGATTATAGTTATACACATTGAAGGTGTAGATTCAGTTACAGAAAAAGTGAAATTTTAAGATTCAGACTACCATTACTCAAAAACAATTTGGAAAAATTCATGATTTGTGAAGATAATAAATGCATATTAAATGCATATTAATGCATTAAATGCATTAAATGCATATTAATGTGTAATCACTCTCATGAACTTGAATACGATCAAGTGAAGCTTTTCGCGAAATGAAATTCACACGAAATTATTGATCTGTGCTCGTTCAGCAGATTTTATATACTTATACCGGTAATTAGTGAACTTTGGGATGCCGCATGGGGATCTGGAAAACAACGTTATAGAAAATGGACTGTTCAAGAAATAAGGTGAATGTTCAAATTTCTCAGGCTAGATACATTAGATTCGCGATTTTTAATTTTTTTTCATGTTGGTATACTTGTCTCGCACATAGGTTCACAGTTTCAGCTATTTAACATGTTCAGTGTGTTGGTGAGAGGCATAAAGGATAGAAGTGTTTGGCGTGTTCGACGATTTTATGCAATCGAAAAAAAATGGTTCAAAGCATTTGCATCAAATTTTTTGCAAAAAAATTGAACTGAGTACTTAAAAACACTTGAAATGTTGACAGTGGCATACGGTGATTATACTTCAAGCCAGAAAAACGTTCACAATCTGGACACCTCAGCACGTCAACAACCGATGGAAATATTGAGAAAGTGAAGAAAATTGTTATGGAGAATCGTCGAATCACTATTAGAAAAGTTGATGAGGATGTCGGCATATCGGTTGGCTCGTGCCATGCAATTTTTTCGGTAATTTGGGATATGAACCGGGTGGCAGTGAAGTTCGTTCCAAAATTGCTGAATTATTACCAAAAATCCGTCGCATGAGCATTGCTCAGGGAATTACTGAATGACGTCAACGGCGATACAGATTTGCTAGAAAGGGTCATAAGTTGACCAATCATGGGTAAACCATTATGACATCGAAACCAATGTCGAATCGTCCTACTGGATGAGGAGAAGAGAGCGAAGACGCTGAGGGAGACTACTTTGAAAGGAACGAAATAGAAATTAATGAATAAATGAATATTTTTTGAGAATCATGAAAATTCACCTTATTATTTAGATAAACAGCATAGAGTATTGAAACATTCTAGTGCTCTTTCGTTGCAAATTTTAATGGGTTCTCGATATATGTGTTTCACAGGTGTTGTTTTTCTTGGGCTTCCCCAAACTTTGAATTTTCAAATACGAGCGTGTATTTGATATTACTGTTTTTCAATGTTCAAAGCAATACTTACAATAACAATATCAAACACCTTCACTATATCTTTCAGATGTAAAGATGGCGTTGAATGAACACCCTTTATGTTACGTGGCTTGACAAAGAAGTAACACCATTCAAGACTGAAATGATGAAATGTTCGAATATTTTCAGATATTAAACTGATCAGTTATTAATATCAACGAGATTATGCTGAAATATGAAACTCATCTTGACCTATAGGATAAAGAAAATAACATTTTTCTGATTTCTAGGTCATCTTTCAAACATGTCGGCTTGACCTATCTTTTCCGACTACTTCACTACTGTCACATATCTTCGGATATATTTTCAACAGTACCTGAAGATGAATAAAAGAAATAAAAATTCAGTTCTTCTATGACTATGGAAAAATAATTGTTTCTTGTTGAGCAAGTAGAAAAAATGATCCATAACTAATACTTTCGAACAAATCACAGTGGACCAGATTTATAACTCTTTACTTTCGAGGTCAATCACAAAGAAAATTTATAACTTTGCAATTATTGTCTATCGCGAGTATAAAAGTTATTGAATTGAAATAGATAGTTCGTAACGAAAAAAATTACTAAAAAATGGACTTGGGAAGTGAATACGATTGTACCGCACCAAAAATTTATAATGTGGCAAAAATTGAACATTTTTAAAACTCGTCACTCAATAATGAAACGAGAGTTGAGAGAAATTTGAATAACTTGATTCTAGAAACAGTCTATTTTGAGATTCCCACTGAACAGTTTTACAAAAACGCAACATTTGTTTCGCTATCAGATAGCTCCTTTAGACTATATTATTTCTTGTTGAGTAAGATATGCCTGAAGGAGCTACCGTATAACGAAACACGAATTGCGTTTTTGTAAAATTGTTTAGTGAAAATCTCATAAGAAAGTGTTTCTTGAATACGTTACATCAAGTATCGATCGATTCCATCACATAGTAACTTGAGATCACTTCGATTTGTAAGTTGCTTCGTGAAGTAGCTGTTAGAACGTTAGACTTGAGTGCTGATGTTTCAATTAAGTAATGGGTTGAAGTATCTCTCATGCTAGATTTTTTAACCTTTTGAAATATCATTCAATGCTTTTTAGGATGCTTTTTGTTACGAAATTTAGTGGTATTTCTCTCTCTACTGTGGTCTATAATGACCACAACGAAAAATTTCATTTTTCACTCATGAATTAATTTGCTATATTGAGCATTGATCCATATTTTTACACGCTTCATATTAGCTTCACCTGTATGTATGCTTGTTTGGTTGTAACTCTCCAGCTCAGGATCTGTATTGACAGAATAATCCACATTATTGCTTGATCTATTCGCGGGCAGATGGCGCTGTACGTAAGTATCGACATTATTGCTTGATCTATTCGCGGGCAGATGGCGCTGTACGTAACCTCTTTGATAATTTGTTCAAAATGAAATGAAAATAATGAATATAGGTAAAAAAACTGAAAACCACGCTTTTATAGCATATGAAACTAGAAAGTAAAAAATGAATATAGTTTAAAAAAAAAATAAAAACTTGCTTTCAAAGAACATCGAAATGAATAGTTAAAAGTAAATATAGTTTAAAAAAACAAAAAAAAACTTTAAAAGAACATCGAACTAAAAAGTAAAAACTATTTTTCAAATAAGCTTAGAACAATAACGATCGAAAAATACTAGTATTATTGTGAAAAAAGCGTAGGCGCTTTGTGCCATATTTTTTGTATTTCTAGCGCCCACGCTTTTTTTCACAATAATACTAGTATTTTTTGTTCGTTATTATTTCAAGCTTATTAAAAAAACATTTTTAACTTTTTAGTTCGATGTTCTTTAAAAGCGTGTTTTATAGTTATTTAAACTATATTTATTTTTCATTTTCGTTTGCTATAAAAGCGTGTTTTTCAGTCTTTTCAGACTATATTCATTTTATCCAAACTTTGGGATCAATCAGTCGTATATTGTTTAGAAAAATGACCATTGATATTTTTCGATTCCGGAGAGGAAGCCTGAAAATCAGCTACCAAGCCCAAGGTAGTAGGCGCGCAAAGGAGGGTTACAGCAGGCGCGCGTGTTAATAAAAAAATACTTTTTTCATGTAAAGTGAGTTTGAATTATATCAAGTAGGTTATGTATAGCGCCATCTGTCCGCGAATGGTCAAGCAATAATGTCAATAATTCTGTCAAATACAGATCCCGATATGAAATCAAACAAACATACATACATACAGGTGAAGCTAATATAAAACGTGTAAAAAAAAAGAAGAAAATGGAAAGTCAAAATAATGAGAGTTATGACTTGTTGAATCAGTTTTCGTTTTGATGAACTTACTTTGAAGTATTCAGCGTAATATATGTAGATATAGGGTATAGAGTACAGTAGACTAACCGTTTTTGGCGACAATAATGTTTACTCAACTTGAGTTTCATACTTAGGTATTGAGAAAATGTAACCATTTAGTGCGACTCTGGTTTAAGCGACCAACTGCTTTTGGCGACCGTTTTTGAAGATAATACGTCCGATTAACCTACGCACCAGTACCAATACAATTGAAGAAAAATGTGCAATATTACAGCGATTAGAAGTCGGTAAATGAAATGCAGCCTTTGCAAAGGAGTTTGGCGTATCTCATTCTACAATATCCACAATTGAGAAGAATGAAGATCGAGTCGCTGCCAGTGTTTTAAATGCAAACGTGTAAGGACTCCTCCTCATGGGCAGTTGAGTAAGGCATTGTTACAGTGGTTCAAGCTTTAGCGGGGAATACCCGTTAATGGACCTCTGCTACAAGAGAAGGCAAACTTTTCTGCTAGACAGTTAGACATGCAAAGTTTCACATGTTCCATGAGTTGGATAAATCGTTTTAAAGTAAAACAGAACATGGTTAGTGGTAACATTGCTGGCGAGTCTTTGTCAGAGTAATGTAATCGATTGGTTAGAAAAAGTTTGTCCAACTCTACGTGTGCAATTTAGAGGGCTGTTTCATGAATTACTTCTCATAAATTGAAGTGTTGAAAATTTCCGTTTTCACAAGATTCACAATAGATTATCGTGGGAGAGAAATAATCTGTGGAACTCAGATTCTTCGATAATTTGATAATTCATTGTTCACGACTCTTTTTACCACACCGGATTAAATTGAAAAAACTAATATCATCGATATCAAATTTCGAACTCATTGATACTAAGATTAAGTGATCTAACCCTTTTCAGTTATTTTCAGAGGCAAGAAAATAATTTTTGGTTATAATTTTGGACCTCCATTAGCTGTACATTATATCAGCTGTAGCTACATTAGCTATATTATAAAGCATGCGAAATATCATCGTGACGCCTACAGCGATTGTTAAATGAATCCAGTCTGGCTTCGCACTGAGGATATCGAAAAAAGATACCCAAAAAAGTTGTCCAGAATATTATTTCAAACCTATGTGTTGAATTTTTTTCAGAAAAAAAAACGATTTTCGTATTTTCAATAGTTTTGTTTATATCGTCGTCTCAATTATATCAATATTTTCACTAATGAGCCATAAAAACAAACACAATTTCAGCTTAAAAGAAATTTTAATTACATGTGTCTTGATGTCTGGCCAAATTCATGATAATTATTGGTTTTCAAACAACACTTGTATATTTTTATAAAAAAATAAATAAACGCTATACGTGGAATTCATGACCATCTTCGAGTTCTACATAAAAAAAATTAGATCGATACGGAACTGAAAAAATATATGATGGATTCCAATAAACAAAATCGCATTGAGAATTGTATCATTGGAGCAGGATAGTTAACATACGAAATCCGAAATCACGACCGGAAAAATTTTTTTATTGTTTCCCCAAATATTCAATATAAGTTAACTAGTTTGATGATCCAATAACTTTTCTGAAAAAAAGTTGGTTGGGTAACAGGATCAATTTTTTCTTAAAAAACATTCTTTTCGAGGGCTCTGTAACAATGAATTTTCACAAACATGCCTTCCACAAAACTTATACGATTATTATCGTTTCAAGTTCACAAGAAATAATGAGTTCCTAATTATTGTACTTACCGAAAAGTACTTTTTCTTGTTGAAAATACTATTTTAAAAATCATCAGACATATTAGATACATATTTAAAAAAAAAATAAAAAGCATTGCAGATCACCAATATTTCCGAGACAACAGCAACATGAATGGACATGAAACAAACGAATGACTTTATCTGTGATTCTGATAAGGTGGTGTCTGTTTTTTAATCAATGCCAGAAAAAAAAACAATGAAAAAAGGGTAAATTATTCCGGTATTCTACTTATCAAATTGAAATATGCAGAATCAAGGCCATCGACATCTCTACTAATGTTAACACTATCGCATTTGAGGATATGTATCATTTCGCTCAAAAGTCTTTTGTTTAAATATGGTTGAACATCTAGAATAGTTGGATGATCAACATTAAAAATGTGTCCATATTCTTTATCATGTATAGGGAGAGCTGTAATATTTTAAATATTCCGTTTCTTAGAGTCTCTCATGTGTTCTGAAACTCGTAATTTAAAATACCGTTCGGTTTGACCAACATAGCATTTGTGACAGCTTCCACAGTTCAATTTGTACCGCATATTGGATTGGTGTTTTTGTTTTTTGTTTTGAGAAAAAATGATTTCCAACTGTATTTTCATTTAAAAAGGCCACTTTAATTTGTTCGGTACTGAGTTTATCAGATGAATGTTCTACAAATGGAATTTTGTGATATTTGGGTTCCACCCCTGTATTTTGATAGGAGAAACTTCTTTCTTCAATTATTTTTCTAATAAGGGCTATAGTCTTTGTCAGCTTTGGTTACAATTATGTCAGGGTTATATTTCAGAAAATGAGTGGCTCTAATATCAAGTTTTTTTATGATTTTTTTTTTATTTTCAATGAATCTGTTAGATCTTATGAAGTTGGTCAGAATGTTCACAGCCTTGTTTCTTTTTTCTATCTTTTCTTCCTTGTGATGTACCAATTATATGTTCGAAATCAATGATGATATATCTTTAAAAAAAATTCTTGTTGTCATAGAGTGAATTGAATTCATCACCCATACTCAAGAAATATTATCAACATTAGTTGGTATTTCACAATTCGAACAATTGGTTAGCCATTTTTTATTAACTTGAAAAGGAGTGGTGTTGTTTTCCGAATAAATTTTAAATTTAATTTTTTGAAAGTATTCAGTTCAATTATATAATGTGTTATAAAGTTGATTCTGGTTGGTATTATATGCCTGAAAAGTTGAGTTGAGGATGACACAATTTTTGAAACTGAATCTTTCGTTTTTCTCAGAACAAATTCAAGCCTTTTCACCTTCCAATGGGAACACCTTATTTCTATATTCAAATATTTTTTCTGAAAATTTAGTAAAGCCCTGTGGTAATTTTATAAAAAAGGAGAGTTCTCTAGTAATAAAGATTGTATACATTTGAAAATAGTAGAAATATGCGTTGGTGAAATATTTTTGCATCTTTGATTATTTTAGTATCATAAACTGCTAACAAGTGCCTGTGCATGAGGCAAATTTGACTATTTCAGAATACTATTGAATGATCCAGAAAACCTGAAAGCTAAAAGTTTTAGTCGGGACTGTATTTTCTTTATTCGGGAAAATATCGATAATTCAATTATACTTCATCAGGGAACCTTTCAACGAGCTTACAGAGCATGTTCATAAAAACTTGGGTGTCTGACTTGTTCTATCTTGAATTTTGTAATTTCAAATTGAGACCTATATATGATCATATATTTCGAGTTTTTTACCTTCGCCATACTGCAAGTCTCATTAGATTTTTTCCAATTTCGAAGACGGAGCAGATTCTAGCCGCCGAAACATCAAAATAAGTATCTGTATAATTTTTAGCTCTCTTTTTGATGGTCAAAATCATAAGATACAAGTTACTGATGAATGAAATAATTTTTTTAGTTGAAAAGTAATTGAAAACAATTATTTATGTATCTCATATTGGAGATTTTACGAGTAAAAAATATTTACCGGCAGAGGTGAATATCTAAATTAATTTCTGTAGTATCTTCGGAACATGTAACTCACCGAAAATTCATATAAGCTTTGAAATGAGAGATTACTCTTAAAAATATGTTTCTAAAATAATTTAAAAATCTCTCAGAAAAAGTTGGTTTATGATACCAGTCTATCTTCAAAATTCGGTTTGATTCTTTGATTATTTTAGTACCTAAAAATGCTAACGAATTGTTTCCTTCCATTCTAGAGTAAATTTCAGTTTTGGATGAAAACTGTGAAAAGTGTCCAATATTTCGGTTTGTTTATTTTTTGGAATGGAAGTAACAATATGGTCAATATATCTTTTGGAAAAAGGCAACGAAATTGACAAACTTTTTATGCATATACTTATTTTGTAGTTCTGCCATGACGAAATCTGCACAAATGGGTTGTTCCATACAATAACCTATTCCCAATCCAGAAATTTGTTTGTAAAGAGATACATTCTAACAAAAATAATTGAAAACTGTACAGAGTTTAAAAACTTCCATGAAAAGATCTATGGTTGAAGTGGTAAAGTTTTAAATGATTTCCCATTTTTTTCTAATTATACTAATCAATAGATCTATAGAAATGTTGAAAAGAGATACCACGTCAAGAGAAATTAAAATATAATTCTCAGGTATAATTTTATTTCTGATAAAATTAAAACATTTTAATGAATCTTTCACATGGAATTCATCTTTTTCGAAACTGTGTTTCAATATTTTGCTAATCCACTTTGAAAGCCTATAGACGGAAGAACCAACAAAACTAACGGTAGGCCTCAAAGGTATTCATTCCATCCTTATGAATTTTTGGTAAANATATTTCCGTATATCCCCCAAACCAAAAACCCTATCACCAATCAATTATCATCGATTGGTGAAAATTTACCATAAATTGCTACAATTTTGTCGACTCTATCTGTTACCGTTCACGTAATCCCCATGCATAGATTCTAATGTGTATAGTTCTCGAAATTAAATATCTGCAAACCACTAATGAACTTTTCCAGTTCTTCAGTAGAAAATTGGCGACAATATTCATTCAGGTGTTGATCTACTACCTTGGAAAAAAAATCACAAAAATGAAAATTGTATTTTCTCACCTTGTGCCTTCTTTTCTTTCTCATGAGTTGTGATAATAGCATCCAACCTTTCTATTTCCGCTGAATTTTCTGACATTTCTGAAATTGAATATATCCAAATTACAATACGGTATATATTAACATTGAATTTCCATACCTTTTCGGTTTTCCTCCTCTAATGCTTCTATAGTGGCGTTCAATTTTCCGATTGTCTTCTTCTCGGCAGATGCACCTGAAATGAATATTGAATTGAATATACATTTTTCGAAATTGCAATCGTCCTTCTTGAGTAGAATGAGTTTCTCAGACATAAGTAATTATCATCTTTGTATTCCTGAAGGTGTCCTCCAAAAACAAGCAATTTTATCAACCACCAGATATGCAATACTCTTCTCGATGCGTGTTTCAAAAACTGAATTAGCATCCTCAGGAAATGAAGAAAGCTCAACTTCTGAAGACGCCAACCTGGTTGATTAAACGTGCGTAGTTGCATTTTCAGTGATTAGTAAAATTGCTCGTTTTTGGATTCACTCTATGCCAGAGATTTCACTTTTATCACTCATTCGAAATTTATCAAAGAGAACGAATGTCAACAATTCCTGAAAAAGTCAAATTCAAATCATTTTTTGTTCACAAATAGAGTTGAACTCAACGAATCATCGTTTGAAATATCGAAATGAATCTTGAAAATTCTGTCATATATATGAGAACAAAAACTGTGAAAGATTTTTGATGGAAATAAAACTGAATTATTTTCACAAAAAATCACTTTTACTTCACTTCTATCACTTTTACGATCGAAAACTCTCCAGAAAGTTGTCATAATTTTCCAATTCCAATACAAGATGTTCTAGATTTTTAGCCAATTATCGCTTTTTTAAGGTCTTTCGAGTATTTTTTCATGAATTTTCATAAGCAATTGAAGTAACTTGTCGAAAATATATTCTGAGTGGCATAATTACGGCAATATGTGAAGAATTCTATTTTACCATTTCTTAACAATACTCTAAATTCTCTAAAGGATATCCTATTCGTAAAATTGCCGACGTAACAAGTTAGTGCAAAATAAAAGGCTTCACTTTGGAAGAAAACGCTCAATAGACTCGATCCATTCCTAGACACTGTTTGTTATTATTTTATTTCCTTAAACACAATAATATCGAGTTCTTTCACGGACTTTACTTGTATCTTATAACTACTTCACATTACATCATCTGAGAATTTTTTTAAAATCATCGAATAATTGTTAATATAAAACTTAAGTTTGCCTATATCAGATGACATTTCAAACAATTCCAAAAGTGATGAGAGTGGATCAATGGTAAACACGTTATTTCCAATGATACTGATTTGTTATTGTTATCTATATGACACACAACAAATTGAAACAAGTAGAAAATGCACTGAGTAATTCCCCTACATCGATTTTCACTAACTCGACTATGAAACTGCATGCTAGCGAGTAAGCAATATCAATTATTTTGGGGAATACGTGAATATGCTTTACGGTATCGAACGAAGGCAAGTAGAAATAGCGAAGGCGAATTGGAAGTTACTGAATTTTTTAAAAGAAAACTCAGGAATGATAAAAATTGCTGATATAACTCCATCCTAGCTCTGACCCCATGCCATCAAAAACTGACAAAGCAAAACCACATTGACTCCTTTTGATACGCACGTAATGTTTGAATGATCAATAAAGGAAAATTCGTTCAACTGTAGCAGTGGAGCAAAAAAAAATATAGCAAAATATTCCACCCCATAAATTTGAAATGAAAAATGTGATTCAATTTTTGGTGGATGTCTTGTGTACTATATTTTATTTTATTCGAAATAGCATGATCAGTCAATATCATTGTGATCGTAGCAACAACTACACGTAAGACACAGTTATATCAATTTAAAGTATGTCTCATCAGAAAATTATCAATATCGCGTTTTGGATCCTTTGTTGTATTGCCATTCAAAGAGTTGAAAATTTTCATCAAAACCTACACGAAATGATGATTTCCATTCACATAGTCTTGTTAAAAAAAATCGATATCGTAATTCAAGACATCGTTAACCATCACAAACATAGTTGCATCTGAATGAAAATCTCATCGGCAGTAAAAAACTAGCAGGATGTAAAATATCCATGGGTCATTACATGTGTAAAAAAATGCCAACCTCACACACAATTGGGTGATTATTTTTTATCTGATATTTTTTGTTATTGAAAAATGAAGAGCCTAAGTCATCATTACCATCCTTCTGATTTTTCCGCAGAAGAACGAAACCTGTAATTTTCTTCAGTTTTTCACTTGTTTACTCCTCAATATTGCATTTCAATGAAATTAAGTTGAATATATTTCCTGCAATCACTATTGAACATGTTTTTCACTTCCTTCTAGTACCTTTGCTTCTACAAAGGCGCAGAGCAGCAAAGAAGGAGTTGAATCAAGATCAAAACAAAATAGTCACTTTTCCGTTCCGTTGAATCGTTTCTCATTTGTTAAAAACTGAATATGGCAGTTAAATAATCAAATTGAGTTGGAGAGATCCAAATCACCTTTAAGTTGCGTAGTTCTGAATTTTTTCACCACAATATTGCAGAATGGGAATAAAATCCAGAGAATAGTTTTTAAAAAAAACAAAATTTTGATTAAACATCCGTTAACCTGTGTTCCCGAGAAAGCATCAAGGAATTTGGCGAGGAGAAGATTTCAGTGAACCCACACACATAATTATGTATAGAAAGAAAAGTCAATAAGACCTAAAAAAAATTTCTTTCCTTTGAACTGGCTTCATATCCACCAAGTTTGCATTTCATCCTGCCTGGCACCCTCACTAACAATCACTTTGAGTTTTGCTTATGGTGAGCATCTACTCTTACAGTAACTTGAACAAACAGTGACATTTCTGTCACTATTACAAATACTTCCAAAACAAGAGAGGATACAAATGAACTGTTCAAATTAGGATTATCACTAAATCAAAAAATGTACAGGAATACATGCGCAATTTTTTTGGTATCAAAAGCATGTACTACTTTGGTCATTAGCTTCGTGTTCTGGTTAGGCAATGTTATTAACTTCCCGAGGCACCCAGGAAATACTTTGGCAATTCGTAGTCTGTCGGCCATGTAAAGTTGCAGAATCATCCCAAATTCAAATTGATAAACTCCCTCGAAAACAACATCCGTTAGTGAAAATTGTGTAATTGTAAAATTATTATCCAGGAGATTTTCAAAAAGATGTTCTATATTGTGATTCAACCAGTTTTATTGATTTGAATATTACACCTAAAAATGAAAAGAGGTCTATTGTCAATATCTCAAAAGATCTTTGATTCCACTGGTTTCACATGTCCGGTAACATTGATTCTGGAACTATCATCATAGTTAACAGGGACATTGGAAATCAATTGGGACAAAGAATTACCAAACAACGTAATCGATAAATTCAATAAGTGGATGAAAAAATTAAATTTCCTCAATGTATATAAAATTCCTATATCGCTCGATAACTCAACTCATTTCATTCCTGGAAATATTTCTATTCATGGATTATGAGATTCCACCAAACAAGCATATGCATCTTGTATATTTCTAAGAACAGAAAAAATAAGGAAATCGTTCTACAATGCATGCAGACTAATTCTAGAATGGAAACAAAAAACATTACAATACCAAAGATTGAGTACAGTCATTGGGGTAAGATTATGTGAATCTATTGAGAGGGTAGAAGAAATGAAACAGTTGAAAACATTTTACATGGTAGCCCCAACTTGGATAAAAACAAAAGGGTTAAATAATACATTTGTGAGAAATCCCGTGAAAAAAATAACTTCATGCAGTAGTATTGGTGATTGTTATCATATACCAGTGGACTTATATAAATATTGAACGAAAAAAAAATATTTCTGTTGACATCACAAAAAATTTTTCTAGACATTTCGGATACTTCTCCAAATATACGAAAATTATGGAAATGGTGGGTTATATTTCGAGATTTTATAATAAATCGAGAAAATATTCCAGACTACGCAGTCTAATAAAGATATCCTTCTGCAAAAGCCTGTTTCCTGATTTTCTGAAGTGATCAGTCTCAATACCACTTCATAAAGGAGGTACTCTAGATGACCCAGCCAATCATAGACTGATAGCTGTCATACCTACACTAGCTAAAATAATAGAAAAATCAGTTAAAACTATAATTGTGTGATTTTTAAAAAAGCACAACATACTTGTGACAGATCACTTTGGCTTTCAAGACAGCAAAAATACCAATGATTCCATTTTCTCATTTCTAAAAAAATATACACTGACTTGAATAATGATGAGATGATAGGGGCAGTATTTTCTGATTCATCAAAGGCGTTTGATTGTGTGAATCATGAAATACTGAAATTTCAGGAGTACGGAATTGGAGGAGTTGCCGTTGAATGGTGGAATTCCCACCTATCAGGTCGAAGTCATACGTATCTCAAGCCTCAATACTGGGCCCGCTCTTATTTTTGATGTATATCAATGATTTGCCAAATGTAAAAATATCTGGACATTTTCACTGTACGCCGATGACACCACCATAATGTGGCATAGTTCGGATTTAGAATCTTCAAATAGACTTATTCAAAATGATATTGAAAATATTTCATTAGGAGAAGAGTCAATTGAGAAAAGACAAAATTTCTGGGGTTACACAATGATAGAAGACTAAATTTCGATAATCGCATTAAGGCTATCAAAACCAAACTAGCATATGGATGTTATGCACTTCGTGTCATATCCAATGAACTCTGACTGTCCAACGCAATGATGGTTTATCATTCATTAATCGAATCTCTCCTGCGTTATGGCATTGTCTTCAAGGGGTGGTTAGTAATAACCACATTCAGGCCATTTCAATCCAATAAAAACGGGCCGTACGGTACATGTGTAAAGCAAAAAATCGGGATTCTTGTCACCATTATTTATTAAGTATAAAATTCTGACAGTGGTAGAATTATTCATATAGAAAACTGCATGACTGATATAAAAATACATTAACCGCTTTGAAGCCATCCAAACGAAGTATAGTACTTGGTGGGCAGAAAATATTAGATTATCTATTCCAACCTCAAATCTAGTTAAAAACTCTTTTCTATACAATGGTAGTGAAATAAGTAATTAATAATCTACCACTGGAGATAAGGAAAATAAAAACCTCAACAATCTTCGAAAAAGCATTGAAAACTTCATTCAATGAGAAACCATATTGCTGCGTTGCTGACTTTTTTAATGAAACATTTTAAATAGAATTCATTTGCAATACTGGTCTAATGTAGCATTTTATATGATGTACCTGTATTTATTCCTTCATTATTTTTGGACTAATTCAATTTTTGTTATATGTCTTGTTTTAAATTATTCAGTTTAATTTTCTGACTGATATGTGTTTTGTTATGTCTTTTTTTTAACTATTGACATACGATACGCTTTGTCAATAAGAATTTTTCTTTTTCAGACAATAAATAATATTTATCCCTCTCTCTGTATCTGTCTCTCTCACTGTTCACGTGTGCAGTATATCGATCAGTGCATCTGGAACTGCTGAAATATCTATCAACAAACGCATTTTCATCATAATTGAGGCGATTTATAGCGCCTCAATTGATTACAATATATCTGAAGAAGATATATTGTAATCAAGTTATGGACTACTTTTTAGTTAGAATAATCAAATGGCATCAGAATCCTATTACTGATGCTTTGTGGGACGCATAGTCAAAGTAATTGAGGAATTACTTCGTTGAAACTTAGGAAAACAACATATGAAGAATAAATGACGACTATGTGCAATTGTGAAGCCATAATTAATGCGTGGCCTTCAACTTATATTTCTGATGAAGATAATTCGAAATCTCTCAGCCCTTTCATGTTCATTTCGGATATATGTACTGGTGAAACTCCTGATTTGAATTTCATAGATAAACAGCATTTAGTGAAACAACATTGATACCTGCAAAAGGTGAGAGGTGGTCTTCGAAGCTGATTCAGAAAAAAGTATCTAGCGGAACTCGTACATACTATTCGAAGGAAAATAGGTAGTTGAAAAATTAGAGATGTTGTTTCCTTCAGCAGAACTGGCATATAGAGAGAATATTGGAAATTTATCGTGGAAAAGATGACGTTCCCAGTGAAGCAAAAATAAAGTGAATAATAGATAACTTATTCGACCGCTCCGCATCGTTATGGTCTCTAGTGAAATTTATAATGAATCACTTTGACATTTTCCCTTCGTTTTATTTTTATTTCAAAATGAGGAAGAGTGTTGTATTTATACTCTGTCCATTTAAGCAAAAGAGTGCTTCAAAACATTATCATGTATAGTGCAGGTGATCTCCCAGACACGGTTGCTTGTTCAGAGTCGCGCTAAGGAAATACCGATTATTTTAATGATATTCGACTGGGTATAGGAAATTCATTAGAGTGAAGTGTAGGAAAACAAATTAGCAGTTTCTTCAGTCGTATCAGTACTTGACATTTTAAAAATTTTGAACTTTAAAATGCCATTTATGTACACACCACATGCGTTTAAACGTAACTCACCACTCCGACCTTGTAGCGATATACCCGAATGAATTCAGCCAGCCGATTGCAGTTAAATCTGATTGGCCAGCGTAAGAAGGCTTGTTTATTTTACCCAATAAATGCAAATATGCGTGGTGATCATGCTTTGATCACGCATCTATCATTGTTTGGGTTACTTTGTTTGTTGGATGAACTGAGTTTGAAATGTATGTTTTTATTATTGCCTCAAGCAAAAAATGCCTCTAGTACGGTATACATAGAATGGGATGCTGTCCATGGTGACAGAACTGTTCGAGGCTCTCAGATCGAGATGAAAAAAACTGTCTTATCAATAACTTATAATTTTTATCAGCCTTCTACAATGGGTCCGAATCATCCATTAAGACCGGAAGCGATATCGAAGTATTATTTGAAATAGATCACACAACAGCTATGGCCTATATTAATATCATGTGTGAAATACAGTTTTTTCAAAAATAGAAAAAAAATAATATTTGCTTCATACATCAAAACTAAAGTAGATAGATTAGTAGATAGAAGACCATGTAAAAAAATTAAAGAAAGTGCAATTTAGATCAAGATTTGGTATTCCTTAAATCGTTCTGATTGTTTTTTAGTTTTGAAAATTTCAAATGAATTCAATATTTATTTTGCACTATAGCATAGTTGAAAGTCATCGTTATCAATGTTTGCTACATTCGATTGAAATAAAGACCAAATATGTAAAATGAGTTTCATATGAAGTTTTTCTAAGTTGTATAATTTCCGAAAGATAAGGAAAAATTTGACCAATAATTATTGATAAATATTGAAAAATATGAATTGGTGTCTGAGAGAAATAACCTAGTAACTTCATCCTGTGAATAAATGCATCTTTCTTAATTTTAAGCTTATAGAAATCTAACTAATTTCTTCGATTTTTCCGAAATTGGGAACATATCTTTTTTTTTGACTGATTTCAGGAATATGTAATTTTCAGAAAATGTATGTGACCTTAGAAGTAGCAGAGGTGAATACATCTAAAGGTTGAGGTCGATACCATATCTGTTTCCTTGAACATCTCATAGTGTTCATTACAAATCGACTCCATTACGTGGTCATTGCCTATATTCGATATTCACCATATATTTCCGAAACAAAAAATGTTGAGGTAGATTTTTCATCGATCGATAGTAGCTCAAAATAGTCAGCTTTGCCACAATTCACTAGACTTTTTATTTTCTTTCATTCGAATGTGAATGACCCTTTATACAAATTTCTGTAAACCTCCATCAATCGTTTCCAGTTCATTTGTTAGAAAGTCGTAAGTAAATTCATTCAGCTCTTTATCGTCTGTCTTAAACAAATTACAGATATCAAAACTACATTCTATTACCTTGTTTCCCCAATGTTTTTGCACGATTTGTGATCATACTTCTTAAGTCTTGGATTTCCTTTACTCTTTCTGAATTTCCTGAAATTAAATATATCTAAATTTCAATTCAGTATAATTTAACGTCGAAGTCCCAAACCTTTTTCCATTTCCTCCTTCAATTTTTTTACGGTGGCGGTCAAATCGCCGATTTCCTTCACTTTGGCAGATATTTCTGAAATGATTATTGAATTCAATATGAGTAACGTTTGTTGGAATTGCATTCGTCATCGTTGGGAATTGTTGACCGTCGTGCATGTCGTAAAGTGGGTTTCTCAACAACAAAAGTAGTGGTTGTCATCTTGGGGAAAACTAGTTTTTGTATTTTTGTAGGTGTCCACACCTCGTGTCTACGAAATCTTGAGAAAGTCAATCAAAGTGGACGGTCAACAATCCTCATAAGAGACAAATGCAAAGCAGTGTATTTTTACAATGAAAATGTGTATTACAACAAATTATGGTTTGAAATATCGAAATATATCGAATGAAAGTGTGCCAAATTGTTAGAATATTGAATCTATTCAGGTATGAGTAAAAACGAAACCTGTGGCAGATTTTGTACGAAAATATTACGCCTTTTTGTGTCGCATTCTCATCACATTACCAAAAAATAATATTTTTATGGGAGAATTTTGAAAAAAACCTATATATCACATGTGCAATCAAAAACTTTCTACGGAAATATTGAGAAATTGTGGCATTATTATATCTCAATTTTATTACACAAGGTGTTTCACATTTACGTCATCGTTGAGAAGTTATTATTTTCAGTTCCAATACTTTCGAGATTATCTGCATGTTTTGAACAAACTATTACTTTTTGTAAGAAAACATCATCAACAATCGCAGTGAAGCAGTAAAGAAGTATTAAAATATTTCACCCCATAAATAGATGTCAAGTTTATTTTGAATTCTCAAGACTGCATTCAAATCATTTTTTACTCTCAACGAATTGAATAAATGAATGTACCTACAAAATGTATGCTTTAAAAATTGCATTCATAAAAAATAATTAGAAATTTTTGAGTGTCAACGGTATTTGTTTGCAATTCTGTGTTATTATTATATCTGTGATATTTTGTTATGCAAATATTATATTATTATTATTATATCAACTACAACAAACGTGAAATATGTCCAGTAGTAACCGAAACATTCTCCAACAAATAACTATTTAGTTGAAGAGGATTGAAAAAACATTGTTTTTTTTGAAGGCAGTATAAATAGATATTCACTAGTAATACCACATGAGCGAGAAAAAATTTCCGGATATTGATTTGACGTCGCGTGGTATTTGGTAAGAAAATTTCACACCGAATTATGGTGGGAAATCGAATAGTTTTAAAATTGACTAAGCGAGATCCTTATCTCGAAATCATTATTTCAGTTTTGAAACTGTCAAGCGGCAAGACGTAAAAAAATGTTTCGTTTCGGTCAAGAAAGCAAAAAAAATATTCGCCAGGAGATTGAGCAATTGACACCCGCGAATACCAGGAAATCGAAGTCAAGCGTATGGAGGCAGTTTACAAACTTTTGCACAGAAAAATCGTATAATTTTGGTAGAGAGGATATACCTGTGGAAGAACTGGCGCTTATTCTTGAAGACTATGGGTTCAACATGCGAAAAAAAAGGACTACAAGGAGAGTGTTATCAAAGTTTTATGGAATTCCACAGCCAAACAGTTGCAGGAATATTTTTTTCAAAGTATAATCGCAAATTTAATTCATTCTCTAACATGGAATTTTTGAACGCAAGAGCTGCATAAAATGCTAAGCGCCGAAAGCTACAAATGGATCCAACCTAGAGAAAGGAAAGTTCATCTGAACTATCAGCAGACGAGCTGAGATAAGTCATTGAGCTTTGGGACGAGAACATTTCGGAAGGACTGCAGAAAAGGTTTTTCCACGTTGCTGGTCATGAATTGGCCTGGAGCGGCATCACAACTCGAATATTTTGACGATAGAGGGAAACCAACAGGTCGAATTGAGTATAACCTGGTTTTCTCCAAGACCACCCAAGGCGATTAAAAAAGTGGCCGACAATAAGTGGCTAGTACCGAATAAACTCAACGAAGAAATATGCCCAGTAAGACTTTTCAAAAATCTAACAAGCGAGCCGGCCCCATGCGTTTATTTTTGACGCCAAATTCAAACAGGTAGAATCCCAGTTTCAAAGGTTGGTAAAGACCTGTTGAACAGAATACAATATCTTACTGCTTCAAATCCGCTGCATCATTGATTGGAATTGATGTTAAAAAGATCAAAATAATAAATCATTCTGTAAGGACCACTGCTGTTTCAACTTCAGCTGAAACGGGAATTGGAGAACAGCAATTAATTTAAATAACCGGTCATGGTAGCAGCCACTCAATAAAACCATATCTGCAAATAGACACGGCCATGATAAGGAAATACTTGACACAATGAGGTCTGTTTCAACTTCGACAAAGACGATTCGAGAATCTCTGAATCAGAAACAAGCAACTACTTCCAATCAACCTGCCATAGTTTATAATGATTGCGTTTTCCACATAAACAATACAATACAAATTACAATAGTCAAAATAATATAAATAATTAGATTCATTATTACTTGTAACCTTTCATATAAAATAAAAAACTAAAAACTCATCTATTTTTTTATATTATTTTTTAACTACTGGAAACCTAGCTAGCCAAATATAACAAATTCACATTGCTTCGAAGTTTCGATATCATTCTCTAAGTATGGGTTACAAGCCTGCGATAATTCTGAAATTTTTATTTATTGTAGTTGCATGAAAATGGCAACCTGAAGCGTAATATAATATATTCTTCTATTTTATATCAATTTTGGATTACTACAAGTAGTACAAAGTTATAATTTTATCAAATTTAATGTACTTTGCAGTTTCGGTACTGGGCATGCAGGGTGTTAATTAAGTATGTACCATAAGTTCAACAGACGATTCTTTAGGTAATTTCAAGACGAAATGTTCATATGAACATGAGTCCGCAAATCCTTCGTTCTCAAGATACAGGGTATTAAAATAAAAAAAAGGGTGTTAAGATATACAGGGTGTTGATTAATTATGTGCCATAAATTTAATGGACGATTCTTTAGGTAATTTTAAGACGAAATGTTCACATAAACATGGGTCCACAAATTCTCGTTCTCAAGATACAGGATGTCGAAATGAAAATTAAAATAAAGTTATTCGTAAATATCTTAAATATCCTTTACCCAATTCTGTTGTGATTTGGCAATGGTATTTATAACATTAAGGAACTGATTTAACCCGAACGTGATTCAATTTATTAATTCCAGTGGCATCTCGAGCGGGATTTGAACGAATATTTTTAACTTAAAAATGTACGCCACTGACTTAATTTAGCAATTCGTTAGTTTAGATGTTAATATTATTCAATATTTGTTGTTATTTTTACATAATCAGTAATGAAAAATTGTAAAAATAATAATTTCCAAAAGAAACATTTAATTCCCCATATTATTCCTTGTGAGGTTCAGGGATATGCAATTAAGTCGACTTTTTTTTTTTTACTAAGCAATATACGAAAAAAATTCAAGAGACAAAAAAGTTGTATTTTTAATTGCTCGATTCAAAAGAATGATGAAAATTGCACTAAAGTCAGTGGCGTACATTTTTAAGTCAAAAATATTCGTTCAAATCCCGCTCGAGACGCCACTGGACTTGATNGAAGTGAAATTAAGGGTGTACATTGTTTTGGTTTGGTACACATTGAACAATGCGATGGTTGGAGCATTTTTCTTCACTTCGTCTTATTATTATTTCCTTTTTTTATTTCAATTCCAAGCTCTTCTATACAAATACCTCACATCAATTTTTGTGTTCTCAAATCACTTGTAAATGATCTCTTGAGAAGAAAATGAAAAAAAGATATGTTTCATAATGAAATCAACAAGTATAATTTCATATAATTCATATTGTATTTTATTCATTCAATCATCTCTTTCATTGAATATAGCCTATGTCATTTTGCAATTCATTCCCACTTAACCCCTGCTCCTCCCCCACTCCCTTTCAAAAGTGTAAAAGTAGAAATTATCTGTTGGAATATTCAGTTGATCACTCACCTCCGATATGGAACCTGACTCAACTAGTGAACCATATTGTGTTCAGTAGCCTCAGACACCATTTTGGATGCCGATTAATCAACCCTTAGTCCACTCGACGACGACACCTCACAGGATTGCATATGATGACATAATATACGATTATAGACTTCAGGTGCAATTTGTTACCTGCAGTGATGAGGCACACCTTTCGGACAATGAATATCCGGACCCAAACGATTATGCATCTCCAGAGATGCATAGTTCCGATCTAGTTCGGCCATTTTTTTCGCTAATTGTTTCCGTTGGTCAACAATTTCTGACTGTTCGCGGTTCATGTTAACCAACGCGGCCTCACTTGATCGGAAAGCATGTTCTGCTTCCTTACATCTCTGTAGGAAACCGCTCAACATCTCACTGACCTCTCCGATAGGTTGTCGCACTTGTGGCACCATCACTTGGGGAATCGCCGGTGTTGCTGGCAGCGGTGATAGCGGCACCGCCAACGGGGTCAATACAACGCACTCCGGAGAAGGCGCCTCAGGTGTTTCCACTGCTGGTGCTGCTGCGGGCGGTGTGGTGGGCCTTAAACTCTTACGAGTGGTCGACCAACTACCTGCATAAGGATTAGTCTTATTGCAAGTAGCTCGGTACTTCTCAATAGGACCAAGCCTCGCTGCAGGTCGTTGACAAACCTTCTTCACAACCCTGACTTCCTCCTCCTCCTCGAATAAGTCAGGGCTGAGAGATCGGGCCCTAACTCTCGAAGTGGCTGCCTTCTCCTGCTCTGTCACAGGCATGATGGTTGCCACCGCATTATTCAACTCTTGGGTGTTGGATGCCATTCTGAAAATGTAAAATAATACAAAGTTAGTTGATATAAAAAAATGCCATTGTTAACTTACTCAAAATTCTGCTTGTTGAGTGGACTGGAGTAGAGTAGACTGGAGTGTTGACTCGATGATAGGAGCTGACTTGAGCTGACACTCACCCCCGGGTGGGTGGGGGGTGGGAAGAGCGCGCGCTTCGCGCGCACGATGTTCTGAAGTCCCTGCATACATACATTCACCATATTCGGTCAATTAATACGTCATCTGTTG